AATCGAAGCCCCGCGTATCGGAATATGGTATGATAAACTAAACGCTAGATTACTATTATATATACTAAGTTATGTATTAAACTTATATATTATATGCAACACAACATTTAAATTTATACCTAGTATAAATTTAAATGTTGTGTTGCTTATAATATTATGTACTATACTAGAGGAATAATTATAATAATAATTTTCATCCGCAGTCATATATAACTACGTTGTTATGGTAAATATTTGTTTTTATTTTTATAAATTTGTGAATTTGTCTGACACGACATTTGATAAGAATAAAAACACACTCGAATATATGAGCAAGATAGGTAACAGGTATACATCGTATACATCGGTAACAAGTGAGTTGTAAATCATAGCAGAGTAAACCCTCTCATATTAACCCTGCTTTCAATCGACTCATAAGCTTATGCTAAAACTACGATTATTGCAATCGAATTAATAAAAAAAGTATATTTATCTCCAGAACCACATACATTCTATAAATTGCTAGCAGAGTTATTAAATAGAAAAGAGATGTATTGACAGTTTATTTCAATGTTTTCTTCTCTATTCTGTCACATATTTGAAAAGGGTCTATCTACTAACTTAGCTTTTATGAATGCCATGCGGTTAATAACGTTTTTCTACTGAACTTAAATTAAGTATCTAGTTAAGAAAATGTCCACAAAACATGGATTAACTTTATGTCACGATAAATTTATTATAAATGAGATTCTATTAATGTTTTTGACAAGTGAATTCTGAAAAGAGTTTTTGTACAAAAATCTTTATACTAAATTATCTGTTGCCCGCAGATTCACCATAGAGAGAAAATATTGCTTTTTAAAAACTGGTTTCTTCATAGTCCTTCCCATTATTGACCTTAAACTTCAAGATTTTTATGTAATTTGCATAATACGCGCTTTTTTAAATGAAATGAACTACAATTGTACTGTAGTTGTATTTACCCGTTTTTTAAACGAGAGGAAATTGTCTTTCATCCAGAAGATAGCTTAACTGGACGGAGGAGATAAAGTCCAATAAAAAAGTAATGCACCATTCCTTCATTGTCTATGAAAAAAGTGTCAATTAAGTAATACAAATGAAATGAACTCAAACTCCTTGTATTGTTTTATTATGAAACTTCTTTTAGCCACCTTTTAGCTGCATCAGACGATTCCATAATATACTATATTATATAAATATATATGTTATAATTATATTAAATCTGATTTTATAAACGATCGTGGTAGTTTACGAATGATTGAGTAATGAATATTCAAACTTTGAATTGTAAATTTCAAGGGTGTACCTTCGAGGGGTTTTCAAAACTTTCTATATATAGCGAATATGATAAACCATTTCCTAATAAATATATTTGTAAACTTTTGTGGACTATTATGACCGAACGTCAGTTCTGACCCTGGAATATGATTAAGGATATACCATACCTAAAACCTGTAATATAGGTTTATAGATTTGGGTATGTTACAATTTGTGTGAGGTGATCCCTGAATATCTCTTTTTTTTTATATTTTTAAACAAATTTTTCTACAGGAAACTATCAAGATATAAAAATGTCAATCCTTTAATATATTATTGTATTATATTATATTGCTGTAGGTACTAAAAAGGCATTGTAGAAAGATTGTGTGTGATGTGATGCGTTTTGTATACTTATTAAAATTGTTAAGGTAATAGAGGTAATTGCCACGAGGTTGTTTGCCCTGCCTGTAATTCTTGTAATGCTTGAAAATATATATAATAAGCGAAAGGCAATTAGTCACAAATTTCTAAATTTTAATAATGAAATATGTAACCAGATTTTACCATTCAGCAATGACAACGCTTATGCATGAGGCTTACCACGGACGTCATAATATATTTTAGCTATTTGTAGTTATTTTGTGTATTTGTACAGTACTACAAACATGTAAAACATGACAATTATTTCTTTCAGTGACATAGACCGCGTCAGCCTCTTTTCTATTCCAGTTACATTTAAAAATAGGCGCCTTGAATTAGTAATTTGAATCGTAATGAAAGAAATACTGGTATAAAAATTATTAATACGCCGTGAAACGTTATAGACTACGAAATACGAAATTTGTAATAACGAAATTTTATCACGTTAACTCGGTTTTTTTCGTATGTCCGTCACGTTTTTCTTCCTCTGAAAAATAAATGTATTCATATCGCATTCCTCATTGTGACATTGTCACAATCGTATAAAGTTATTTTTTGTAAGAATACATGTAAAATAACTATTTATAGGTACATATTTAATACTAAATAATCATCACGCCGTAGGGAAAATGGCAGTGAGGCCGCCAACACTAATGGTGTACTGAGAATGGCAGATTGAGCATGAAATCAGGTCAGTTAACCCATTCATCAGGAAAAGACCACAGTGTTGTCTACCTGACATGGTATGTATATATGTCACGTTGATCTCCACGCGGTTCTCCTGGAAACCAGCGTAGTAAATTGCGGTTTGCCAAGACGGGCTAACTGACCTAACTTCATGCTCATTTTATCATCCGCCACTGGTGCCCCGCCAGCACAAACCGATAGCGTAGGTGGGTGTATCATTCCATTATCATCCATAAAAAAATCCCTATTACTGGGGGAAAGGGGATTGTTAGTAATGTATCACATCCAGTTGACTCCTACCTGGTTCACCCCCGAAACCATCGTGAATAATTCCTGGTGATTTCACCACGACGGGCTAACTTACTGACCTGACTCATACTATCCACTGGTGCCTTCCAGCGTAAACCGTTAGCGCAGGTGCACTATTCCTTTATCATTTATAATAAAAACCCAATTAATATCATACTCTCCACTTTGCAACAAGCACATCATATATGTATATGATGTCCTTGTTGCTATTTATGTGTATAAATAATGGCTAGAAACCTACTAATTTCTATCACGTATACCGGCAACTTATATATAGCTCACTAAGTTATATATAAAAAAGGAATAAGAAGAATTTTATTATTCCACGTTTATTTGACCCGATATTAAGTAAACAAAAAAAAATAAAAACGTTTCATACAATTGGATAAATAGCTACCGGCCATATACCAAATAATCCATCAAAATATCAATTTCCCTAAACCTCTGTAAGGTGTGAAGTGAGGTTTCTTATACAAATACATGGGGTAATATATTTTTTTTATTCATGACACGTTACCTACATTTCCGTCTTTGTGAAAAATCGAACTGAAGAGACGTGGCCGGAAAATAAATCATTATACATAAACAATTTTTTTTGGATTGTTCCACCATTTTTACTGGTTAAATATTCATACTTTTATATGTGAACAAAGTACAAACAACCGACAAAAATCGGAACGTACGTACGTTCCGATTTTTGTCGGTTTATTCTCATAGGGTTCTCTCTAAAGAACAAATACTATGACGACACCAAATAATGGAACGACCCGGATTAATTCATCTTGTAAGTTGTTTTCAAGGGGTTTTCAATTTCCTAATTCTACTTGTTTTCGCTTGAGTGTCTAACTCTGATTACAGTATTGAATTTGCTGTTAAAATCGATGTCGCTTTATTTCCTACCCTTAATCCAAGTATAAAACGAAACCTGATGAGTCTGTATATATATTACTCTAATATTTATAATTTCTTCTACTTCCAATTTTAGTAATTTCTTTAGATATATATGAGTAATCTGAAATTTTAAAACTAACAATAGTTTTTTAAACAATCAATACTACATTTGTATAATATTTGACATCTTTAAGACATAAATTTGATGTGCTTTAGTTCAGTGAAGTTGTTTCTTAGTATAATTAACTTATTACCTAATCGATAATAAATATTACATATCTGTCTGACCTTGTTATCCTTTCACAACTGACTAAATGACTGAACAAATCTAAATCAAATTTGAGTTGAAGACATATTTTATCACGACGATAGATATCTCTTTTATTAAAAAAAAAAACAGACGGAAGTCGCGAATCACAGCTAGTAATATAAAGTAATCTTTAACAGTAACTCAAATCTTAGTGTTCAGATTATTACAATGTCTCTTTATACCTTACGACTCCTTCAGAATTGGACGCGAAAATATATCCCTTTACATTTTTTAAATATATCTTTCTATTAAATAAATGACAGAGGAAATGACAGCTGGAACCAGCGAGGATCTTCAAAATCACTGCGGAAAAACATAATTGTTGGACATTTAAGTAATGTTAGTTTCATTCCCGATTTTCAACTTTCGTACTTCAGGTATTAACTTGAAATGAAGTCGATTGCTTTTTTGTTTGTGACTGACTTTATTAGAGTTTATCGTTTACCATTAGGTATCTACTATTTAATAGTATCTATATGTCCATACTTCATATCGTTTCATACGTTGGTTAAATAGAAAAATGGCAGAATTCAAATTGTACTAATGTACATGTCAAATGTAAAATCTTTAAATTTATTTAAATTAATTTTCCCTTTAAAGTTTTAAATTTACACAGAAGTATTATATATCATTTTAAAAATATTTAGATAATGATTAAGACGGCGTGGTTATTTTAATTGACTTATATAAAAGGAGGCAATTCTAGCTTCTAATTTTGAAAAATGTAATTTTTCTATTTAATCGGTAATATTATAAACACGATAATATTTCTTAACGAAATTTTATTTGAAGATAGATTGTAGGTATCTCATGTAATGAAGTTGAATGTTGAAGAAGTAAACGCTGGTGAAGTCTATGATTCGCCAATGTTGTTCATAATGTGACTATATAAATAGATTCTAGATATATATTGATTATATTTTAGTTATTGATAGTGGTTAGGAATTAACTTTTATGGAGACGACATGATTTCAACCAAAACATTAATCATTTTCCTAACATCCATACTTCTTCATTTGTCATTTATTCCCCTCGATCTAAGAGGACTTTGAGAAATGACTATCCGCTTAAGTGTAAGAAAAAATTTAGTACCGTGTATTAAAGACATTTTTTTTTGTTTCAGGTATATAAAGGTGTAGAGATGATGACGTCACTAAATGAAGGTAGAAGGTAACAATTGTACTCGAAAATGGATATAGATCATGTTATACTGGATAAAGAGGCTATCAACAGATTTGAACAGTATACTTTGGCAAAGCCTTCGCTTAATGGGGGAATACCTTTGGATAGATGCCAAGAAACCGACTCGGTGGCATCTAATAGCAGAAAGAAAGTACAAACTTCGCGCCAGAAAGTTATTTGTTGCTTTTGCTTTAAAACAACTAAGTACAGAAGAAAACAGTTTATTATCGGTTCCCTTACAAATATTGTGATATTCTCTATTTTATTGGCATATACTTTTATGGGATCATTTATATTCTTAGCTATTGAAGGTGGAGCTGAAATGCCTGCCAGACCTCGATTATTACCAGACAGACATAAAATCAGCCAAAAAGAACAAAATAATACAAACAGGAAGCACACAGAAGATGATTATGAGTACGGTAATTTGACACTCTCAGCAAACTACTTCTGGGATGCTAGGAGCAGAGCAGTGGAAAATATTTGGGAGATAACCGTGTCATTGAATATTTTGTACCGTGAAAATTGGACTAGATTGGCCGCACAGGAGATTTTAAAGTTTCAAAATGAGCTGGTACAACGCGTAACTACTGAAATGGCATCACAATATGGAGTAAGTTACAGAGAGATGGCCTTAGGCGAATTTGGAGGCGGAGACGTTAACAATCACTATGAGGAACATGAATGGAATTTGGCACTCGCGTTTTTCTATTCACTGACTGTATTAACAACAATAGGTGAGCCGAGATATTTCAGAGATGTTTCCTTAAAATGTAGAAAAGAATAATTGAATTTCATTTATCCGTCGTAACGAAAATGTAAATGTAATATTTTTTTTTTCTTACAGGATATGGAAATATTGCTCCAAGAACAATACTTGGAAAAGGCATTACTATACTTTATGCTCTCATCGGTATACCGCTGACTCTTGTATACTTATCAAGTGTAGGTTCTTTGTTGTCGAAAATGGCTCGAAGTGTTTTCAGTCGTGCATTGTGTTGCTGTCTTTGTTCAAATTGTGGTTATTGCTGCTATGATGAAAGAAGAATGGCTGAAAAAGAAAGACGCATGAAACTTAAGAGACAACAAGAAGAAATGCTTAATAGTCAGAATACGAGCAAGACACCGACAGAAGAGTGTTACGTATTGAAACCTGATAGTCAAAAAGATTTATCGATATCAGAAAGACCAACGACAAGTACTGCTAAGGATGATATTATAAGTTGGCCAGACACAGATTCAAAGCTATCCATGCGTGGATTAAGCATATTAGCTCCCGTTTTACTTTGTCTCGCTGCTATATTTATATATATTACTATAGGCGCCATTGTACTTTATAGGTTAGATAATATGAGTATTATAGATGGATTTTATTTTTGTTTTATGGCATTGAGTACTATAGGATTTGGAAATATAATCCCTGGTATGAGCTATACAACTATAAGTGGTGTTAGGTATTATACAATAAATTCAACAACTTTATGGTTTTGTTCGGTATACACATTAACAGGTTTAGCATTAACTGCTATGTGTTTCGGTGTTATTCATGATGAAATTATTTATAGAATAAAACATCAACAAAAAGAGTGGTCTCAAAAAAGTAACACCGTCAATGATGAGGTCAATATAAATGATCCATTTTATATGAATTCTTGACAAATGTATAATAAAGGTAAATCAGAAAATTTGTACAGCATTATGGAGGATAATTCTGTGGTAGAACGTAATAGGATAGAAATTGACAATAGAGAAGTAGTTCTTAGTGTAGATGATATGTCAACAGCGTTGGATTCTAATGCAGAGTTCCCTCCACCTCCACCTGAGGAGGAAATAGTTGCGATTGTAACTAAAAAAGAGCCAAAAGGCTTTGGTAATATGGTAGCATACAATGCACTACCAGAAATGCTTGAACACGTCAATACGTAATCCTGAAGGCTCTTCTTGAAGTTGTCGGATATTTCTATCGGTTAAAAAAAATATTGATTTTATTGGCTGTGAATGATTCATTAATTTTGTATGTATAGAAGGATTTTAAGAAAATTATATCATTGAATTTTCGAATTTAATTTTTGGTCATTTTATGTAGAAATTGTAAATTTTGTAAATAATGTAATTATATGTATAGGTATCATTACTGAAAATTAAATGATGTCTAACATCTTTTACTAAATCTATTTGTCAACTGTTAATATCAAGAGCGTAACATACCTAACTTTTCATGTGAATAGTTTCTTTGTAAATTACCAGTTTAATAAAAAAATACGTACTTGAACTGTTTTACTTATTTAAACTATTTATTTTTACGTTAAATCATAACCTAAGCTTTAATTTATTGTGAAATAAGATTATTATGAAAATGGCATAGAAGCTTACCTATCTATCATTTTAATTTAAAAAAATGTAACTATCACTTATGCATACTAATAACTGGCTACGATAACCGTTTATAATCAGATTTAGGTGGGCTCTCCTAAATGTCGTTGTTGTTCCTAAGGACGCCTATGAAATGAAAATACAGAGCCTTTCAAACCAAAATCAATCAATCAAAACTGACTTATATTCGCTTTCATTAGGTAAATATGGTTTTGTCGAGGGGACGATATGCTGCTTCGTTAAGGCGTATGATAAGGACGAAAGAGACGGTTGTAGAAGTAAGTGAGCTTTGCAGAGTTCTTTGCAGCTTCTTTGGACGAAACTAGACTTCAAACCGCGAAAGCAGTAGAAGAAGACCCAACTCCTGCCTGATTCATATGATGTTATTATTGTCCTGGCATAAAATAAGCTTATTAGTTTTAACAGTCTGGTCTATTTTTTGGTTTGAACATATTGCAACAAAAATGCACACATGTCCCTATGTATATATTTACATCCTATTATGTTACTCACGTACGCCAAAACTGGTCATTTTTTGTGAAAAAGTATAGGTTTTTTCCATATTTACGCCATCTTTAACTGATTAGATAATTTACTGTAATTTATGCAAAATAAAAAGGAAGTACTTTTGTCTGTATTAAAATAATATTAGAATTACAACCTTGAAGAGAAAAGAAAAAGTATATTGTGTATGTATACATATACACGTATAATTGTAACTGTATAACATAAAAATGAAATTACTATGTCAGACGAATTTTCAGTAATGTCATAAAAGGAAAATATCACTGTATAAGTACTTCACTCGAACTCAATACGATTACGATTTGATACCAATTCGATTCTCTGAAAATTCTGTATATGTAAGTACCATCATAAATTGACAAAAAAAAGTACAAATCCAGTTAACATAAATTAATTCACCAAAGACGAGTCTTACGCATCCATGATGCTATTACGGTTAAAAAATTTCCTTTCGCACGAGATGAAATTAATAAATGTTGGAAACAGCGTTACTAAGCAAATTAAATATAATTTCATTTTGATGCTTTACCTCTGCGGCGTGGCTAACGACACCCACTGTATGTTACTGTAACAAAGACAGTCTCCCGATGTTGTTACTATTTAATTTTTTAATTATATCGTTAGTGACAGTTGCCAGATAATTTAACTACAGTGTAACAATATTAATATTGATAGTTTTGATGGGCTAATCAGAGACAGACTTAATACTGACATATGGCTGGGTATTGGTATATATTAGAATCCAACATGGCAAAAGTGCAAGTATACCGCAGTCTCTCAGAAAATCATCTTGATATTTTGAAAATGACTCTGTTAACTCTTGACGATTAACGACTTTAGTAAGGGATCACTATAGTGGCAAAAGTGATGGTCCATAGCAATAAGAGTATAAAAAGACCAATAAATGAAAATTATTAAAGATTAGTGGCGGAGAGAGGATTGTTAGTACTGTACCCATTAGAGACCAGTAGTGAGCCTATTGCTAACGTAATACTCTGTCAGAAAAATACTGCCAGTTAACTGCCAGGGTAGACCGCCTGCAGGTCCAGGCGGTGTACCCTGGCAGTTAACTCTGGGTGAATTCGAGATAGGTTAACAGATATTATTCTCATTCTGTCAGCCCTCACTACTACCCCGTAAACGTATACCGTTATCGCAGACATGTATCTGCAAAAATCTGACTAGTTGTTTCTCGCGATACTGTCCACGTTTTATTTATAACAAATACAGACACAAAATTTTGTCTTTTTTTATATCATTGGCAAATATTTAGATAATTTAACTCATTAATTCTAATCTATAATCTATATTATCCATCATAATTATTATTCACTAAAATATTTCGGCGTCGAGTCATATCGCTGTTATGTATTGGATTTACCTGAACATCAAAACCGGTACCTTATTAATCCTATGAGAAATATTATCTACATTATTTAATATTCATCTACAAAAATAAATTTTATATTCACTTAATAAAATTAGCATAAGATCAACGTGGGAGTAATGTCGATTTAGAATTAGGACATAGACAATTATTGTTAAAAAAGCAGTATTTTTGGAAGTACCTAACTGTGAACTACATAAGGTCATTGGAGATTACATTTTTTAGAGTAACTAGTACTTTATTTATTTTTTTTTTTTTGCATTTGATTAGAAACTACTCAAATTTATATTTGGTAACCTATGGTATTATTTTATTTTGCTGTAAACTTTTGTACCACTACATCGATTTAAGAAATTCTTTTAGATATAAGATTTATAGACAGAAGAAAGTGAAATTGTCGTAGCTTGAAAAACCCAACTTTATAAAAATTCTTTTATTACAAAAATTCATAACTTATATAGGTATTTAGCGAGATAGAAAGTTGAAAATTTCTATGTATTATGTTTAAATAATTTTCAACTTTCTGTATCGATAATATAGGAGTTATGAATTTTTGAAACAGTTTTTTGGCTCTGGTGTAAAAGTTCGGTTTTTCAAGTTACGACAATTCCACTTTTCTCACGATTTAATATAAGTTAATATAAACAAAATTCACAAGTTATGGGTACCCGGGCAAAAATAGACGGCCTCTAGTGCTAGGATATTTGTATTTTAAAACCTAATATTTTACAAAACCGTGAGTTTATTAAGTAGTAAGTAACATTATAAATTATATAAACGAATAATTTGATATAGATTTCTAATTAGCTTTCATATAGTTACATCCGAAGCCTTTATAACTCACATCGACATTGCATTTGCTAGTAAATTTGGCTAATATTTTGTCGTACTAAATTTATAATGTTTTAATCAGTATTGCCTACAACTGGATATATATAACACAATAAACCTAGAAATAAGTTATTTTATTTATGTGAATAAGTACTCTACGTAGCAAATTATTAAAACCAGAAATTATTTGATGGTTTCCAGCTATACATGTGGAAGGCGACTTGAGAGAGGTATAAAGAATATTGGAGTCATTCCTCTTAACAACCATTGAAGCTGTTTTTTTTATTGACCTCAATTATGATACGAAAGACCTGATATTCCTGAATGTTTTTAGGAAATAAATTAATGTCAATGCTATCAATTCCCAACAATCATTCTATAAATAATTCTAACCAGCAATATATTATGTTTTTATTTTTAATCTTCGATATCGTTTTAGAAATAGTCTTATAACTGCCCATATCTATTTCTTCCATTGAACCAGATCCTCTCTTTATAAGGAAAATAAATTCACAAATATTGTACAAATAATACCCATTTCTATAATAATTTGATCACACGAATCTATTTTTAGGACGACTTAAGTTGGATTCTATTATTAACCGTTGCAAAATTTCCCAGGAACGATTTACTTACCAACTTTCATTCTTAATGTGTCAGTAAATGTTGTGTATTTTTGTATTGAAAGTATGATATTATATTTTGTATTGTGTTAAATTGTAATATTTTGAATTTTATTTTCGAACTGTTTTAACGGTGTTAGCTACCACCACACGAAAAAGGAGGCGTGCAGGGACAGTCCATTCACGCGGAAGGACTTATGGAGTAGCTAAAGATCAACTCCTTTTCTATAGACACGACTTCAGTCTAGGCGTCTGAGGTTCCACTTAGATCAGGCTATTGTGACTTGGATCGCCGTTTGAATGCGGATCGATTAGAGGATAAATATTGCATTCAGTTTTCAATTTATGTTAAAGACAACAAGTTTTATTTATAGGAGAGCATAATATAAAACCTTTATACTTGTATGGTATGTTTAGGCATGAGTAAGTAAAATTAAAATACATTTGTATTCAAAATTAACTGTTACACGCTATTTCATTAAGATTCGCTTAGTCGTTTAATTGTGGAAAGGTAATAATAAAAATAAACACACTTTCACAATATTAATTTGGAAGTTACTTAGTAGAAGAAGACAGTTTGTGTGTTAGTAAATTCAGTTAATTACTCATTTAAATTAGATCCAGTAATAGTTATAGATTTATAGGCGACTTAGGTACATGAGAAGAACCTAACCTATGATTTTTTTATTTACTATTCAAACAAACTGACGGCCTATTTAATGGTAAACGGTAATGGTTGCGCCTCGCCGTGATCATGATGCCGCCCAGATACCCCTAATACATTGCTTTTCTTGAAGGATTAAGATTTACTAAGATTTCATGCCTCTTATTTTGTAATTTCATTGTCTAATCTCGCCCTTCAAACTAAAGTAACTTGTAGAGCAAGCTGAATAAAGATGAAACTGAAGTACACAAGCAGATAGCTTTCGACTAAGTCGTAGTCGTCGGTAGAAAATAGTAATCTACAATAAAGATATGAATGAATGAAAAAATATATACTTACCTATATTGAGTAATATTGATAGCACGTATTGTATATGATAGCAATTTATAACTTCCTTGTCTAGTATTGATCCGTGCGTCTTACTGAGTAGGAGTGTTTATGTAATAAACATGCAGAGTAAAAACAAATATTTTTTAGAAATCGGTTCCACTACCGTAGTAAGTGTAAGAGAAATGTATAACTTGGACCAGACAGGAAGACTAGACGAGGCAATATTTTTATTGGAAGAATGGATTAAAAAACAAGACCATTTTGAGAAAAAAGATTTTAGTAAGTGTTCATTTAATATTCATACTAATATTATATCTAAATGAGGAGTGTGTATATCGGTCTATTTGTAATATTGTGGCATTTTCACTACCAGTCGGTAGAAGGAAAATGTAATATGTTTTAAGAGAAGATAAATTGTGTTATAGAGGATAGTCATCTCAAAAGGTGACGAAGTCGCGGTTATTATTATTATAATTGTATAGTAAAGTTAAATATAGTATAATCTTGTGTACTTGAACTTGACACAGAAAAGCAAATTCTCATGGTTACATCTGGTTTATGGTCAATAAAAATATATTGTATTTTGTATTTATAGCGTTATATGTTTTATATGGTTACCTGGCTTATGTTTTTAACCATACAAATATAATTTTAAAACTTCTTCAAGATTCTAAGAATATAGGTATATTGGCAGAGAATTTAATATATCCTTAATTAATTTATCCTTGTCATTTCTTGTAAATATTGCCTTGACTAAAAAAATATTGTGTATATATTAGTTTATCTACTCATTTAATTAAATTGAAAGACGAGATTCTGAATAAAAACATAAATAGTCCAATGATTAGACATCACTATATAATATTTAAAATTTGATTCATAATAATCCATAGTATCTATGTTCTATCTAATCTAACGTAATAGGGATTATTATAAATGGAAACAAGTGCCCCTATTTTTAGTCTTGTATTTAGAATATGAAAGTATGGAGGGATTTTAAAATATTTACCGTCATTTTAAAGCCAAAATAGATATTTACATATCGTTAGTTCTTATGTGGGCAACTTCAAACATGATTGATTTCTACATACGCTATAGGTTTCAAACTAATTAAAAAATTTCTGGTTACAACTACAAACTGTATAATAGCATGTTATTACATTTTTCCTATTTAGTACGGAATCCAAAAATAGTATGGCATATATTATTATCTACTTTTCTGATTTATTGCCGTAAATGTTCAATGGAATTTAAATACAAAGTAAGTGTTATAGCTATTAGATACAGGTCTAAATAGGCTCACCTGTTAAGATCCAGAAACTGGTTTAAGTAACTTAATGATTCAAAGGAAGCACTTAAAAGATGACTGCCTGTCTAATTATCATTTGATTACCTTAAACAACTTGACAATGTTTATTATGAGGTTGTTACCAACTCTTATGGTACTTTGACTTTTGTAGAATGGTAATTGTTATTAGAAATTAATGTTGTTGTGGAACAAATTAATATCTAATTAACATATAATCACAGAGCAGGTTAATTGGAGTCATTGAGAATATAACTCGTGCACTCTCTTCTAAGCTAAGTACATATGTCAATCCAAACCATTAATATCCAAATGTTACATAATCGCCTATTTATATTACTCCGTATCTATGGGATTTCTCAAGAAGTTGTCGATGTTTACACATTTGGATGAAAGAAAGGATAAAAAAAGTAACAAAAGAAATTAATCCGTCGAAGAAAAGTGGTGAAGTCAAAAAAGGCTGTTTGAGACGAACTTACCAAAATGATCAGATAGTACTCTGATAAGACACTGTTAAAAGGACTAAAAAGTTTTATCGTATAACAAAATTGCATGAAGAGGTATGCATATTAAGGAGAAAGGTTTGTATGAATCGAAGTATTTTGTGTTTCTATCTACCTCAATGGAATACCTGTATAATGAAATCTATTTATATGTATATTCCGGGATTGATCAGAGGGGTTAATTTCGTCCACTTCATATGTCTTTTTTGTAAATATACTTTTTTTTTTTTTTTTTTATTATTTTTTTTATTTTACTATATACTTACATATATGGTCTGATATGCTCTAGCAGCAACGACTAATTTATTTTGTTAGTTAATTTTGATAATAATATCTTAGGTTTTTTAATGAATATATGAGCATTCAGCAAAAAAAATATTATACTATCTATAATAATATATCTATAGAGTTTTCCATTTCATTCCAGGATTTGTTTTTTTTATTGAAACAAATTCAGTTAATAAGATTCACATGTGATAAACTGCTTTAATTTCATAATTACAAATTTAGCAAACCAATATAGGTATAAACTGGATTTTCTTAGTTAATAACGTTTATTAATATACGTGCACTTTATAAGTTCAGAAGTGTTCGAAGCAAGGAATATAATATCTACTCTAAAGAGATTCGAAGCAACATACAATATTTTAAATTAAAATTTAAATCTTTAACAAGTTTTATTTTTTATATCATAATAATGTAAAGTAACAACAAAGATGTCTTTGAAACGTCTAGTACGGAATGACACCATTATGATTACAGTAACAATTATCATATTTTGTAAAATTTATACGTCTAATTCGGATTTTCTATCTAACATCTTATTTAAATATTTATTTATACTGTTTTTTCCTCAAAAGGATAGTCGTGACTACTAAACATGTTTTTTATATTTAAAAATATTTAAAGAACTATAATCTATGTGTTACAGGCCGAGATTTTTTAGAAAGATTAATCATTATAAACAAGGGATCACTGGAGCGAACAAAATTAAAACTGGATAAAATATGTACCCTACGAACTTTGATGCCAGAATTTTTTGGAATATATAACTTAAAAGAAGATTTTAAAGATGTATCTTTACTGTATGTAAATTACTTGTTTGTCTATTTTTAAATATATAACAAATTACTTTTAAAATATACATTGTATTAAATGACGGCCTCGGTGATATAGTGGTTTATGGTAGTGTATTCGATTCCTTACACGATGAATTTAGTATCCATGTGTATGATTGTTTAGATTGGTCTAGGTATTCTCTATGTATGTATTTACAAAAAAATGAATTTATTATGTATATCTATTAGTTGGCTAGTATCCATGACACAAGCTTTGCTTAGCGTGGGACTACACGCTGACGCTGAGTGTGTTTATATATACGGTTATTTTTATTACTACTTTTTCATTAATTCTTTACTATTCTGCCTTGGATAGGATGATAGAATTGTAAAGACAAAAAATATATTATAAATACTGTAAATTATTTTCATATTATATTTCAGAGTAGACGCCATTATGCCAAAAACTACTTCAGATTTTTACAGAGTTTATTTGATGAAAAATAAGAACATTACATTGTCTTCTTACATGAACTTTTACAGGCGACTTGTTTTTGTAAGTATTCATCAGAATTTAATTTTTGTACAACCAAAATGTGTTATCTATGCTACTAATAACTATTCCATTTTACATTCAAAAGATCGTGAGTTGAATGCTGGCCACTAACAACAAAAAACTGTGTGCCATCTTTTAATTTCTACCTCACTCTCTTCGCTTTGATAATTCATAATGGTTCCGACAACCTCATCCAGAATAATATTCGTGATGGTATATTTGTACATAATATTCAAATTATCAGTATTAGTGCTATCAAAATGATAGACTCTCGACCTAGTGGTTTACTAGCCGCCTTAGATCCCATCGATAATTCCATTTCCAATTCCATTGCCGACACCAACTTCGTGTGCCAATTAATATTTCTCACTCTCTCGATGAAAATATTCATGTTACAAAACTAAATTAATCCGAGAGACGGTGGTATTGTTGCTTGTTGTCATCTAAGTAAAATATGGACTAACTATATCTGTGATAACAGTTATATATTTTTATATCTATCTATTATATATGTATACTAGCTGACACGGAACTTCGTTTGCATCACACTTATCATTACATTATATATTACAGAATATACATAATCTATTTTTAAATATATACATTATTCTGATATATTAGATATGTTACTATAAAGTTTCATCAAAATCCGTTCAGTAGTTTTTACGTGAAAGAGTAACAAACTTCCACCTTATATTTATTTAGCAAATAAATTAGTTTATTGTCACCTCAATAAACTTTATTAACAAACTACTCGTTTAACGAATATCCATTGTTTTGTGACTGAAGTTTAATTTTTAGACATGTATGACTGGCGTAGTAAACAAACTGACAATCGGCAATCAATTAATATTTAGATTTTTATTAAAAGTTACTGTTCCTGACGGGTCTAGGTAGCGAACTATGAAAAAGGACGAGCATAATAGATGTATGCAGGCAGTGATACAGGTCCAAGCACCTGACAATAGCTTAATCTCCCCAGTAAAAAAAGTTACTTTGATTTTTTCACAATTAATATGAGGAATAAATTCATGTAATCAATGAAGTATTATCATATCATATTATAAATATCTTATAGACTAGACTAACATACATATAAAATAATAATAAAATATTAATATAAATTGTCTCTTCGGTCACGGCACTGACGACGGCAATCCGCCACGGTAGGCTGATACACCACCCCCTTAGGCTAATAGTCCTCTTTCATGAAGATGGACAGTTCATATCGCGTGATATACTTACATTAAGAATATAATATATTCAAATTAATGATCTGCTTCAGGTTGATTTAAAAACAATATTGTTTATAAACTATTAGTTTTGCTTCGTTCACTAACTTCTACGGTATTAATATTAAATATTGAAAACATCTTTTTTCATTGTCCTTTTTTATTGTATTTATATATATGTTTTGTTTCTAGTATTTGGAGTATATGCTGCGATATGATTATACTGTGGGAGTCATAATAATTATGGACTACATGGACACAAATCTTTTAGAGTTGGTAAAAACTTTGAGTTTGACAGAGCTCAGACAAGCACTTACACTATTCATGGTATTTTTTTTATTTATTTATTTCCACAGACAGCAGTCCAAAAGTAAAAAAAGAAAATTATAATTAAATTAATGGTAATAGATAAAATTAACAAGGTCATTTGTTGATTTCATCAATACCCATTAATTTTCTTTACTAATATAATATATAATTATAAATTACAATTAAAATCAAATGAAAACTTATTAATTTATTTATCAGTATAAATTATTACCTAACACTAAACTTATGATAAAACAACAATAAATTCAAACTAAATTAATGTCACAAATAAATTGAAAATAAATGGTATTTATAGTAATACCTTCATATGTATTATAATTATTAGTAAAAATATACACGCTGGTATATATATTAATAAAAAATATGTAATTGAACTTATGTAATTGAACACACTTCACATATTTGGCTAATACTATTCTTCGTGTTTGTGATATTTAAGATATTGTTTGTAAGGAAGGAGGTATTCTTTTTCAGTTATTATATTATTGTTTGCTTCCCAATTCGAATAAGTTATTTATTAATTTTTTATAAGTAAAATTGAACATTTAGTTATTTATTTTTAAGGAAGGATATGGTTTGAGAGTGAAAGGAATACACTTCTTGACGACATCAAAAGTGATAGACACATTCGTAGCATTATGGAAACAAATATTAAGTGCGAAAGTCGCTGGCCGATTATATGTACATAAATCTTTAGAGTCACTGCACGACGCTGTTCCCAAGGAGTTACTTCCAGCTGAATATGGTGGTAAAGAGAAGTCTCTTATGGAATTACATGGTAAGTTTTGTTCTACTAGTAAAATCTAGTGTATATCTGTATCTAAGGATCCGTGTGGATTTTAAACTATATCACATGTATGCGACATGTAACATATTATCATTCAAAAATTGTTTATTCTTAGATAATAATAAATATTTTTATGCATTAATATTCCTTAAGAACTCTACATATTCTGTACATTAAAAAGTTATTATTGCGATATTAAATAATAATAAGATAATATTAACCCAGGACAATTCACACATCGATATCGAATCTCAAGTTAAGTAGAATTTGTGATACGGGTGCTTAACAACTGATGGAATACTACAAACATTTTTTAAAATATATGCTTAATATATATAGAATATACCCAAACCAACACAAACAATCATACTCATGAATACAAACGTTTGTACCATGCGAGGAATCGAATTTACAACCATCGGAAATAAAGCTGTGTGTTAAACCGCTAGACTACCGAGGCCGTAATAAGTAGTGAGCCATTATTAGAAATTGAGTAAATCAATTATAATAATCTAGCTCGTTTTATCAATATTTTACTGGTGTCTTATTACAAAAAAATATATTTTAATAGTCGTGTATAAAATTCTTATTTTTATATTTTCAGATAACATACTCAATATTTTGAGTGAAAAGGAATTTATAGAATACATGAACTTAGTAAATAAAGGCAGAACTAATGAGACTCTTAGATCACCTGATAAGTTCAACGAACAGCATTTGGGAATGCCTGGATCTTTTCGATCGTTGGTGGTGGATTAAAATTTCAACCTTCTTTATTGATTTAAATTTTTTTTTAAATAAGTGATAAGGACTTAACGTTCCTTCATATCCTAATCCTATATCCTGATTGGGCAGTCATATAAGATGACAGGATGAGGACGAGGTTCGGTCAGCCAGCCTAATAATTAACTACCTTTAAGTTTCTAAGAAAGGCTGGAGTGGTGGTCGACCAGAAAGACATTAAAGGTACAGAGTTTATCTACATACCCCTGCGAGGATTATAGTTTTCAATTAAAAAATATTAAAAAGAACAACTGAAAATATTATTTAACTATCTTCAGTGAATGCGAATTTGTTATAAATTGGTAAACCTTTAAAATATTGTTATTTATATGTCTATCTATTATGAATAACAACTACACATTTAATTAATAATTTATCTTTTCATCAGTAGAGATTGAAAAACTGATAAGCTTATTCGTAATGATTGCTTGCTTGGGATACTCTTCAAATAACTTACGACATTCGACTCAGAATGAATTATAATGGAAATATATATATCTATCGCTGTCAATCCGTCGCTATGTATGCTTACATTTTTAAAATTAAACGGATTTTGGTATATATATATATATGGTTTATATATATATATATATATATATATATATATATAATACTTGTACATCCATGCGAAGCCGGGACGAGTAGATAGTAAATAATAATAACACTAGTGTTTCACAATTTTATTGGTAAAATATTGACATAAACAAAAAAATAACGAATTTTTGCTCTTCTCACCTATTGGTTGAAATTTACAAATATGGAATACGTGACTGTATGAAATCTACTAACTAACTAACAATAAAGTAGATAACATAACTTTAAAGATTATTTTAATCACAACGATAACACTGGTCATCATCCCTATAAATGTATAATAGTCCAATTTATCCAATATTCCTTCGTAATAAAAGTCGATAAAAGATTCGTCAACACACTCACCAGATATTGACCTAAAATTGATTTCATTTCGAGAGATGAGGACTGGAATTATACAAATTCAATCCTAACAAATCTTTTACTCGTTGAAATATATCTCGGCTTCAGTCGTCTGTACTCTACAATCTCCTCGAATCTGCAGAAGAAATTCAGCCCGCAATACTGAACGTAACATGTTCCATCAGTGCAAGATCGCAACAGCGCAAAGTTTTTTTATTTCTTTACATTTTTATGTCAAATATATTTGACACGGAAACTCAGCTCCGAAAACTAGTTAGTTATATTGGTACTTTCGTTAAAGACTTAGTTATGATAGCTGTAGTAAAAGCATACTAAGCGGTCCACGTGCTGGTTTCTGACCTAGTAATTAAGGTACAAGTAAAGTTACTACCATAAGATTTATCTACTTCCTCCTTATAGCTATGGATAAGAATGATTCTAGGATGGCGACTGCAGTTTCTTATGTAAACATAAAATATTAATCTACAACAAAGCTTCTAAAAGTTCCAGGCATGCCTAGATGTTCTGTATTGAACGTGTCCCCAATTCTACGTGACTCGTCAGTTTTAGCTTCGTTCATCGAGTCTACGTAATTTATGTGTTCTTCTGTACTGAGGGTGTCCATCCAATATTCTGTATGAATAAAAAATTAATAAACTAGCAATACACACATCATATATACAATATTATTAAATTAACTTGAATAAATATAATACACAGCTATATAAGGAATGACCATAATCATTGATCTTTAAGATTAAATATCAGTTATTTTGAATTAGGTCGTCGGGGGTTGTCTACTGAATTTATATATTTTTTTATGGCAGATAAGCTCATATGTTGGCATTTCGAAGAACTCGAGTATCATGCATTCTCACTGTATTATCTAACCCTTTAAACCGAAATACAGGTTACAATGCAAGTTGCTTGGCGGCTAAAATTGGTGACACTAAGGTACCTAAGTAGACAACTTTGTACAATTTCTACCTATGTCAAATACATTATGGTAATTGCCACATTTGAAATGCTCATAATGCGCTGAGAATATTTGAATCCAACTACAGGCATTCAGCAAGTCTATTGTTATCTCCCGCAGAAGTAAATTGAGGTGCAGATTATGGATATATTGCGAAAATATTCATCGTTTATATAACAAATTTTAACTATGAACATTATAAATTACAGTTTTGTTAAAACCGTATTTACTATTACAACAAATTTAACAATAAACTATATAAGTTTATTGTTAATTTTTTAATATACTATTTGTATTTAGGTTACCCTTTTGTATTGATTATATTGTGATAAAATACTTCTGATTGACAAGTTTTTTAAAATATGTTATAAAGTAAATTATTACCGTTTAATTCCAACAAAGATTTTTCTTTACCGCCATAGTCTACGGGAAGTAAATCTCGAGGTACATAATTATACACTGATTCTATATTTTTGTGTATTTGAGCTCTTTTTAATAGTTTATCTGATAGTATTTGTTTCATTACTGACATTATTGCCTCGGCAAATGTTGCGTTCTTCATCACAACATGTATAGCTTTCACTCTTGCTCCATATGCCTCCTAAAATAAGTAAATATTTGTTTGTGATCATATGTGATATACATATTTCACAAATACATATTAGTCCTAAATGACAAAATCATCTTTCTTATAAATCCTTAATTATGTTATTATTAATAAGCCTTGATGGTTGTAATCTCAAATATGGTAGTCAGGCATTTAACTGAGAACTTTATGACTTCAGCTACGACTAAATATCAATAACTATTACTTAATAATTTGTACAGCTTACTATCAGTGTCAAATATAGTCTTGGATTGGTCATTGAGAATTTCGCGATGAGATCTAGAACATTCGCTTGTCTAAAGTCATATATGAATATAAGGCCTGCAAAATAATCGTGTTTCACACCGTATTCAGTCATCTGAAAGAAAACCAAACTATTTACTATTTTTTTATTATTACCTTACCCGATATTTAGGCAGTGTTACAGCCTTAACTATCATTATAAATAATAAATAAAGTGTGGAAAGTAGCTATGATTTTTAATTATTATGGTTAACGTAGTAAGGATTAAAAAGAAAGATTTTTCTTAATACAATCTTTTTAAAACATATTTTTATACCTGTGTGTGTTTAGGCAACTACTTAGGTTGTATCTCTATGTGTGTTCTGTGCCGTTAAAACTTTATTTCTTAATTTTTTGGGTCACTTAGTCTAGTAAAAGAAAAGCCTGATAAAGAATTGAATAATAATGTAGATATTTCATTTATATTTTATTCTGTCTATAATGGATATTATTCACACATTCACCCTATTCATTTTGTATTTCGGAAACCTTCAATTGAATAAATCAAGGTATCTAATAACAATTTCTTATTTGTCTTCGTACTTATTAGGAATTTAGTTAGAGACTAGTTATTGTAAGAAATTATTTATTGTTAGATATGTTAGTTTAATAAAACCTTAATATGATGTATGAACACTTACATAAACACCTCTTCTGTAGCTTTTTATTAAATCGTCTGTTGTTAAATTTCCTTCAGTCATTTTTAGCAAATAAAGTCTATAGAAATCTGAAGTTAGCCTGGGTAGTGGTACATGAATTCTGAAACAAAATATATATATTTTTTTACTTTTGGTATAATAATATATATACATATTTATTATGACATTAATAGCCTATTATTTTCCTAATCTAATGTTAGTGTACATACTTTAACTGACTAACAAGTACACTAACAAAATATTCTATTATTGGTGTATCCAGTTTATTCATGAATGTTTTCAGAATGTTCTTGTAGCTTTTGAGGTTCTTATATTATCTGTAGTAATATTATTAATATATACTTACATATTTTTAACATATAGATCCTTTTTAACATTGTATCTTCCAAAAAGATATGGCAATAAAGTTCTTACAGTCAATAACTTTTCAATTTTCTTTTTGGTCACCTCCAGCGATCCGTTTTTAGCAAGTAATAATGACTTTTCTAAAAATTCTCTCGCTGTTATACAAATAGAATAAACAAACGAATTAAATCAATATCACAAAATCTAATGTAATTTGGAATGTTTGTATATTAATGAATAATTGCATAAATTAATGTAGTTTTAATGATCAGAATGTGACGTAGCAGCCAGCCAAAAATAAATTTATAGGTAATCAAGAAAATACTAAGTGGACTACATGTGGAGGATTAACTTGGAATCGAATGGTTAAAGGTACTTTATTAATTTTTCATTGCATAGGGTCAAACCTAGCCGCACACCTTACGGTGAATTATTACCGCCGCCCAGAAGCACCCTCAACACCAGGGGAATTCCCGCCCTTATCATGCGAAATATGATAACAAAAATTTTGGAGTTAAGTACTCCGAAATTCTGAAAAGATTTGGTATTTCAGCGAAAATGCCGCCAAATGTTGCCTCTTTCTCTTACTCATTGTTACATATTAATATTTGTGCATAATAGTACACTATTATGCACAAATATTTATATACGTAAATGTTTTTTTTTATTCTGTGAACAGAACAATAAAGAATTTTCATTTTTTCTATGGTTCGAACTGACTATTCGTGCTGAACAAGCTCGTTGTATGACAGAGTACTTGTGAATTGAAATCAATTGAAAACACTTATAAATTATGTACTGTATTTGATAAAGTTGAGCCACAGCAATAGCTTAAATGGGTACTTACGTAGGTCTTTTTTCGTGAAATGTTCTTGTTTCTGAACCCATTCTACTAATCTATCTACTGCATCGTCTAGGCTCCCCGGTGTGTCCAGATTATATAACTTGAGCAAAGTCGCTCGGGCGTTAGAACAATTTAGGTAGGCTGAGTCGCTTTGTGATTCCATGTTGCACAATATTATTATTTATTGACACTATTACCTGTACAGAATCAGACTTTATTTCTGGTGTTATTTGAAAATAAAGTCTGGTGCAAATTCTAGATAGAGTCCGATAATGTTTAACTTGTTTTATATATACGTGTATATTAGGCTAGCTTATAAACTTGATTTAAATTATTAAATCATTAGATTTTTGTATACAACCGTTTAACACAGTAATTATCTGTTACTACGAGTATATCACTAAAATCGATAATTAATAATTTTATAGGAACATTTATACAAATATTTTATTTTCAATGTCTAGCTAATTTAAATAATTATCTAAATTTATGCGAGTTGTTGAATATTTAACTTAGAAATGAATAATTATTTCTGGTGTTTTTGTAAATAATAGTGTATCTATGTAATATTGTATACATATGTATATGCTTTATGTAACTGACACATTACGAATATAATATTTTGTAAAAGAACTATATTTTATATAATAGATAGCTGGTTAATTTTTCAGTTACTGAAAATTTCATGAATAAAATCCAAAGGAAAAGAAAGAAATTGTGTAAATCCGATTATTTGCCCACACAATAGTATACTGAGTCTTAATTTGACTATTCTTAGACAAGAAAGTTTTTATACAATTGTTTGAATATTGTGTCTATAAAAGTAGTGAATTTTCTGTCTATAAAAAAATATAACTAATTTCGATTTAAATAGGAACCCAAGAAAAAGACATTGATACACCGTAACGAGGTTCATGTACTTCACTTACTATAAAATTGTAAGGTCTATAAACATATATAATGTACATTATTGCATAAATACTGGCTACAGTTATGACTAACATAACTATAATCCAGTGTTCTGAAGCTGTGGTATTTCCCGGATCAAGCCGGCTTATTCCTACTACACAACTATGCATGCAGCCAAATATAAACTCCTCTTCGTGGAACGAGATTAGGTTGAAATCATTCGATTAGTATTTAGTCTATTTTATGCATGGCTTTGACTATTTGGATAACGCCACTTCGGCAGACAATACTGAGTTAATCACATTATACACCTTCGTCCGTGATTTCGTGATCAGAATATTACTAAAATTCCAATTTTCTAATATTTCTGCAACATACTTATGATGGTAATTTATTTCTTATACTTTAAATATTTGAGTATTCTGATACTTATTTCATACATGACCCAGAGATCACGTATGAATATGTTTATTTACTTCATAACTTCAGTAAATGTACTTACCTCTTCGCCTGCTTCTTCTTTAACCCATTATAATTTAGGATCGTCGTAATTTGTTTTTCTTTTCCGTTCATCCCTATTCACAGTCATCGTATTATTTACTTCTTCCGTTCTTACCATATTATCATTCACACAGTCCATCCACCTCTTATTCGCTCTTCCTCTACCCTTATTCATATTCATATATAACACCTTCCATGTACTTCTCTTAATTAATGTTATGTGAAAGGGTCTACCATAGCTCTAAAGTGGAGATATCGAAGCAACAGTGGGAACTTGAAAATCGCTTCAGATTGTTTCTAATTCACCATGTGTGTACGTAAATCGCTCGGTAGAATAATACCAATTGTTACGATTTTCCTATACACAAGAAACTGAAACTAAAGTGTTCTCGGCCACTGTTCTTCATTTTAGAACTGCGCGTCAAACTGGGTTTTTAGGGTTCTGCATCAAAAAGGTAACACAGATTATTTGCTGCGCAAATATGACTCAGAGTTAGAAGTTGTCTAGAATATGATCTACTTATATTTAAAATTTCATCCAAATCTGTTCAGTACATATTGCGTGAAAACAGCTGTCCGTCTCAGCCACAGTGGATTGTGATTTGTATTCAGGTTTATATTTGTATTGGAATGGGTGTATTGTATGTATAATATGTATTTACAAAAAAAAATGTATCAGTTGTATAGAACCCATAACACAAGGTCTGCCTAGCTTTGACTAGATGGCGCTATGTAAATTGTCGTTATTAATTATATGAATTTTAGGTTATTGTTATAAAATAGAGTAATAAACATTATCAGTCTGTTTGAATACATTTTAAGTTACGTATTAGAATATTTATAATAATAATATAACTGTGTAATTAATTTTATTAAATCTACAAAAAGTATCATGATTTACACCATTTTATATTCCATTAATATACAATATTCTCAATATGAAATTTATAAAAATATAATATCTACAAAGTTGCAAAACAAATGTTATCGTAAAATAACACTTAAAAATATAAAAGCAGCCTTGATAGATGGTAAAGTATAAATAATGAAATAACTTTTGAGTTCCAAATAGAAATAAATAAGAAAAAATAGTTTATAAGAATGTGGTTAAATAGCATAGTTCCAGTTTGAAGTCAATTAACATAAAAATATGAATATTGCAAAAATATTAAGAACACATAATTTGTGGAGGTAATTATGGTTAAGACTACCTCTATAGAATGTATGCACCCTAAATTTAACTCATGTGGCTTAAATGGCATATCATATAATTTTAGGTATAATTTGGCATGTTTTATTTTGGACTTATTATACTTATTTTATACTTATTTTGTCTTATATATACTCGTAGCTGCATGAACGTTCATTGTATGAGTTTGACACGAACTTCACGGATTTGTGAAGGAAAATGTCATAAAAGTGATTATACAAAAATATTAATATAATAATGTATTAACATTTTTGAATATTCACTTTTGTCATGTTTGCTAATGTAAAGTTCAAGATTAACTCATATATATATTAAAGATATTTATACATTACTATTGTAGATTTCTTATAGATACAATATTTTAAATATGATGTGCAATTATTTTTAGATAGACTTATTATACTTAAAAAACCGATTAAATACCAATCTATACAAAAATATAATTAATCTACATTTAAGCTTCTGAAAGATCCAGGCATTCCCATATATTCCTGGTTAAATTTGGAGACATCCCTTTTTGATTCGTCTGTTATGAGTTTGTCCATATTTGTTATTATCCTTGCAGCTTCTTCTGTTCTTAGTACTTCTTTCCATTGTTCTAAAAATTAATAAACGTTATAATGCTTCACAATTAGTTAATTTTAAATTACTTTAATAATAAACAAACTAATTTTCCTTCAGGTAAACAATCTGATGGAAAGTTTTTTTTCGGTCTAGCCTAATGCTCTTGGCCGCAGCTGGCCTTTACAGCTTCACCGGACGATGGGGGGCGAGTACAGAGTAACCATCCATTATATATATGAACAACACCACGTACGTCTTATTGTCATGCAACGGTGTGGTACCGTTGCATGCATTATAATTCCTGAAGATTACGTTATATGCACTGTAATTTCTCTGCAATATCTCATCTTTGAAACTGGAATACATAACTACTTACAAATAGAGTTGCTTCATAGCAGAAATACGTGAGACGTAGGTAGCTGCCGCTAATGGCCTTATTATAACTGTCTTTCAGTGAAAATCATATATTACACATAATATTATAATATTAGCAATAAATATTATCACATAGTCAAAGTGATATATATAATAAGAAATTAGACAACAAATTACTTCAAGTAAATCTAGGTACTACATCACAGACAATTTGGAAACGGTAATATACTAAGTATAGCAATATATCCATATATAATTGCGCCATTGGTGTCTTTGAATTAAATTTAGAATAATTTAACATATTATTGTTTATGTTCATGATATTTTTAAATTTCCGTTATTGAAAAATTTCTTTCAGATGTTTAGTACCCATTATATAGTTTAGTAAATTGTCCTTGTTGGTTAATAAATAAGATTGTCTGAATACCAAAAACTTTAGTAACCTAAAAATAAACTACTTACCAGCCAACTTTGAACATGACTGCTCGTTTCCATTATAGTCTTTGGGGAGTATTTCTTTTGGTATATGTTTCTGAAGGTCTTCGTATGTCTTGTGGACATGGACGCGACCCGCTACTTTAGGTTTAAGGGCCGACTTCAAAATAAATAGTAGTTTGTCCACAAACGGTGTTGCGTTTACGATATGTATACCACTAATTTTAGTACCAAAACCTTCCTGGAATGTAGTAAATAAATAAAAAACCATGGACTAATAACACAGCACCATCCAATCCCACAGTAAGCAGACCTTATGTTACGGGTACTAGACAACTGATATATATATAAACACCTCTTTGGGCACTTTGTTGATCACGCCACAACCTAAACACTTGCTGATTCCACCTTTTGCACTGAATAACTTGACTCCTATCGCGTATATCTCAGGCGGTATGGCAACGTCGCATTCTATTTTGCGATGTGGCCATATATATTCGTCGATAGTACGATATACTCGACACATTTTGTACCAATAATTCGTGACTGAATGGCTCCGAACGGCTAAATTTTTGGTATACACAAAGACTTTTTGGCTCTGAATATATTTCAAAAATCAATTAATTATGTTGATCACTTTATATACTCGTCCTTACTGCGATACTTATTTTCATCCGAATATATATAGCTACCGTAACGGTCTATCAATTATGAATTTATTAATTTACTAATCTAGATATTTTATATTCGCAATGCTCCATACATAGTAACTCCACCGTTGCAGGGGGGAGCACCGTACACCGCACCCCGCGCACACAAACAAATTAGAATAAATTAAATTCATAAGATTATTCATATATTTCGACTGCCTCGGTGGTCACACCGCTTTACATCCGATGGTCGCGGGTTCGATTTCTCGCACGGTGCAAACATTTGTACTCATCGGTCAGCGATTGTTTTCATCGGTCTGGGTGTTTTATATGTATATTATATATGTATTTACAAAATAAAAATATCTATTTATATCAGTTCAGTATCAGTCTGTGTTAATTGTCCAGGGCTATTTATTATATTTTTTATAAACAGTTATCTTTTTCCATCACACCGCTCGCTATCGACAGTGAATTCATAGAAATGTCACTCTAAAAACAAAAATAGTTTTGTGTTTTGTATTTCAAATACTAAATGCAAAATAGGTATTTTCAAAATACTTTTTCAAAATAAAGTACCTTTTGAATTTTTGTCCAAACCTCAGATATTTTAGGTATATCAATCATTACATAGTGTAGTATAAAACAAAACGCTGTCGCATCTAACAGTACATAAATAAAGAAAGAAGACTTTTTGGCTCTGATACCGTAACGGTCTATCAATTATGAACTAAATAGTTGAATAAAACTGAATAAGCAGTTGCTCCACTCTATAGGTACTGCGTCGTCGTCGTATGCTGTTCATTTTTTCACTCGTTTTGGCGCCAAGAGAGGGTCACATAGTCGTGGTCAACTTAAGAACTTATAATTTAATTTTGATAACAATAGATACAAGTAAAAAGTAGGTATTATATTAATGTACGTAAGTACTGTACTTAAAAATATTTATTCTTTATTGTACATTTGAAAAACTTAACACTTAAGGACTTGTACATATACACGTACATACTGCCATTTTCTCTTAAAGACATCCAGAGAAGCACTATTTATCAAATACGCGGGGTGCACCGACCTTTGACCTTATAACAGCTGATTCGCGCGTAACGAATTACATTGCTATTTTTTGGTATTTTATAGTGGATATTTCACTATAAAATATTATTATTTCTTTAGATTATGACGTAATAACATAGTTTACATGATTTTAAGGGAAACATAAAAAAATTCCCGTAAAATGTAAAAGATAAAAAATGGTTATTGTTGGTTATCCTTAAGAGATAGACATATACCATCACGGACTTTTTTGTTGACCTTATATTGATACATCTCAAAGCACTAGACAATACGCATTTTCATTAAACAGTAGTGTATTTTTATTTATTTATTTAACTTTAATGCACAAAAAAATTTGTACATGTGGTGGACGTAATATCTTGCCGCGTTAATTACCAGGCAACTATGAGTGGTGCAGAAAAAGATTATTGGCGCTGCACTAATATAAATAAGAAATGTCAAAAAAAGATATATAAATACAAAGCAAAATATAAATTTTTATAAAAAAATAACAATATACATACATAAATATATATGTAAATATAACCCATAAATGTGTAAATATTCTATATAAATAAATACATAATGATCCGATAATCAAATTATAAGTACAGTCTCAAATTGAAAGTAAGAAAAACAGAAAATATAGACAGAACTATAGGGATATAACAGAAAGATGTGAAAAAAGGAGAAGGACAGTAAAAAAGTTAGAAATTTAAATAATGTTCCCGCAATTTCTGTTTAAATGAATTTATTACATTATTATATATATTAGGCATACAACTAGCCTTGTGACTGTTACTTTTTTTTTAATCTATACATCTATACATGTAAATAAAATTGGAGTGTCTGTTTGTAATATTGAAATAACCGTTTTTTACTACTTGCATATGAATATAAATACGGTACATACACCAAAATAACATATTTTACAAGTTTTGTCTGTCTGTCTGTCTGTTTGTTCCGGCTAATCTCTGAAATAGCTGGACCGATTTTGACGGGACTTTTTTTGCCAAGTAGCTGATGTAATAAGGAGTAACTTACGCTACTATTATTTTAGAAAAATAAAATAAAATTTCACGCGGACGAAGTCGCTGGGGCCAACTAGTCTATAGATATACCGAGATTTAATGTTTAAGTTGCTATTATGTTGTTGACAAAATTTTACTGTAATGTTACTATTACGTTATCCTACACAATTTGTATTATTTTGGATGAATAAATAAATAAATAAATAATAATCTATACATATAAATAAAATTGGAGTGTCTGTTTGTAATATTGAAATAACCGTTTTTTACTACATGCATATGAATATATATAAGGTACATATACCAAAATAACAATTTTTATAATTTTTGTCTGTCTGTCTGTTTGTTCCGGCTAATCTCTGAAATGGCTGGACCGATTTTGACGGTACTTTTTTGGCAGGTAGCTGATATATAAGGAGTAACTTAGGCTACTTTTATTTTAGAAAAATAAAGTTAAATTCCACGCGGACGAAGTCGCGGGAACAGCTTGTTTTTAATAAAAACGGTTTATTTGATAGAAAAAACATCTTTTTTGTGGTACTTGAGAATGTTGAAGCCTGTTGTTTGTAATATTGAAATAACCGTTTTTTACTACTTGCATATGAATATAAATACGGTACATACACCAAAATAACATATTTTACAATTTTTGTCTGTCTGTCTGTTTGTTCCGGCTAATCTCTGAAATGGCTGGACCGATTTTGACGGGACTTTTTTTGGCAGGTAGCTGATGTAACAAGGAGTAACTTAGGCTACTTTTATTTTAAAAAAATAAAGTTAAAAACCATGTGGACGAAGTCGCGGGAACAGCTAGTGTATAATATATTAGAGATACCTACGTGTTTTTTTATTGATGATTAGCTGTACACGGGATTTCGTCCGTGTGGAATTTCACTTTATTTTCCTAAAATATAAGAAGTTAAATTCCACGCGGACGAAGTCGCGTGTACAGCTAGTTGTCGGTAGTCTAGCGATTTATCTAGCACACCGCTTTGATTCCTGCTTGGTGGTCGAGGGTTCGATTCCTCGCACGCTGCAAACATTTGTATTCATGAGTATGATTGTTTGTAACGGTCTGGGTGTTTTCTATGTATAGATAATATATATGTATTTACGAAAAAAAATCTTTGTATTTATATCAGTTGTCTAGTACCCATAACATAATCTTCAGCTAGCTTAACTTGGGTCTAGATGAAGCTGTGTGAATTGTCCTGAGATTACTATTATTACTATAATAAATCTTTTCAAATCAGCCGATGTTTATTTTTGCCATAATACGTGCTGTTACCATGTGATAATATTACGTACGTACTTATTACTGTTTTAAATGTGATGCGTTCATTATTTATATTTCCTTTGAATTAAAGACAAATGTATATATATATATATATATATATACACTTGCTCACTTAGTTGATCCAGCCACGATCCGTAGATATTGCTGATTCCACTATCTCTCTCTTTCTACCACTATAACGGTAGCGTGGCGGAACGGCAACATGTTGCCGTTCCGCGTTCTACCACTATCTTTGTATTCTAATATGCGATGTTGCTGTTCCGACCGAGACCATGCGTTGTTGCCAAATGTATTCGTCGATAGTAGTAGATACCTATACTCGATATATATTTTTTCAACAATTTCCTGCAATAGTGAATCCGTATCGGCAAAATTTTTAAATGCACAAAGATTTTTTGGCTCTGAATATATTTAAAAATCATTTACTTGTGTGTTGATGAATTTATATACTAGTACATGAAGTACCTAATACTTGTTTTGATTTGAATAGGTAGCGATATTATGAATTTATTATACGTAATCTAAAAATTTTGACGAAATAAAAGAAATTAGTTATCTGTTAACCTTGACTTCATGCTGGCACCAGTATTATCAGATGATGAACATACTCTTCGAAAACTTACAGCAGAAATATCGTGTTTGGACTCATTAGATAGGTCTCGATGAATAGAGTTTAAAAAACTTAAAATAAATGGTAAATTAGAAATAATGTATAAATACCCCTTACGTAAAATTCAACCACTTTAAAACTTAATAATAATAATTAGGAAAAGAGCAAAGCTATAAATGCACTGAAAGTAATTGATGCCTTCCATACAATATTTTCAGTATTAAACAACTCTGTTTGTTCAGTAAAAGTGTAAATACACTGGTAACCTTTAATCATATTTTATATGCAAACATTACATATGCAAACCCTAAAGTTTTATTTCAGAATGGCCAGTAGTTTTGAAGAAATAAGTCTTTGAAATTGTACGTGTAACTTATATATATACTAGTTTTTTCACCATAACAAGCAACACCAATATGGCCTAGTTAGTAGTGTACCTATGTAACAATACCACATTACCACACAGACACTCCGAGTTCGAATTTCTTTCCGTCCGTTTACTTTTATTATTTATTTTTTTGTTTTTTTTTTAATTTAATATTTTAATAATCAATTTAATTTATACGACTATTAATTTATAATAAAAACGTAGTTAAGCATTAAATTAATTTTACTAGTTAGGAATGTACCTGTGTACCAACTTACCACACAGCCATCCCGGGTTCGATTCCTACCATTGGCTTTTTTTTTATTTTTTTTTAAAGTAATATTTAAAATTAACTATTTTAATAATTAAATGAATTTAATCGATAAAAACGTCGTTAAGTATTAAATTAATTTTAAGTGATATTAACTATTATATTATGCATAAAAAATATTTTGTGATAATAAAGAAAATACATTTAAAATGTTTTACTTGTTGTGTTAATTATTTATAAGATCTTACTATAATTGTTAGCTGCTTTACAATTTAGAAAGTATAATAGGTAATGTAAATTAAAATTAATTTAATACTTAACAACGTTTTGTTCGATTAAATTCATTTCATTATTAAAATAGTTAATTTAAAATATAAAATAAAGACAAAACAAAAAAAAAATTGGTGGCGGGAATCGAACCTTGAGCGTCCGTTTGGTAAGTTGATTTGAAATTCAAAGGCTTATTTCTTCGAAATTACTGGTCATTTTGAAATAATACTTAGGGTTCGCATACCCTTATCGGATACTACTACTACACGGAGTCTCGTCAAAATAAAATATCTAGGTTAGGTATAATAAATTCATAATTAATAGACCAAAAGAACGAGTATATAAATTGATATTGATTTTTGAAATATATTCAGAGCCAAAAAGTCTTCTTTCTTTATTTATGTACTTGTTAGATGCGACAGCGACTTTGTTTTATACTATACTATGTAATGATTGATATACCTAAAATAAATAAAATATCTGAGGTTTGGACAAAAACTCAAAAGGTAATTTATTCTGTAAAAGTATTTTGAAAATACTTATTTTGCTTTTAGTGTTATAGTACTTTAAGTGTTATATTTTAAGTAACAATGTTTAATTATAATTAATACTACTGCAACAACACTCCGATCGTGCAAAAAATTTTGCTGTTTCATTATTTTTTAGTTCAATTAGTTGTCTACCTAAGTCCTGGGCTAAGCGGGGGGTGAGTCATGACCCCCCATGACTCCCAAGACCTCCATGACGCTCCCCCCTAGATCCGCTGTTGCGTCTTCTCTTCATTCGCTCAGTACGTTGTTACAAAAGGAAAAATTCCCGTCCAAAAAATAACAAGTATTGAGGTTTGATCTGGAGGCACGTTACTCCAGACTGATTTCTATAAATATTTAGATTAGATAGACTATTATTCTTGAAATACTAGCTAGACATTATTAAGTTACTGTAGCCATAATGTAGTAGCCCAAACGTGCCAATAAGGAAGCCCTTGGCAAATGCTGCACCCTGATTGGCCCGTTTGAATTGGATCAAGAAGTGGTCGTATGCCAAAAAGGTGGATTTGTATAAAATCGTGTATAAATCGCTTAATTATTATTATTACTCGTCGTGACAGTTGTGGCTCAAAACGGATCAACATTTATATATGGTCAGCTGGCATTAGATCAACAAAAGGCCTCCGGATCAACAAGTGAAAATGGATCAACAAAAAACTACCTATACGGCACGTCTGAGCCACAAAGTGCCCAAGGGGATATTTATATATATATATATACAATTATACATTTTTTTTAATATACAATATACATAGAAAATACCCAAACAATCATACTCATGAATATAAATGTTTGTGCCATGCTAGGAATCGAACCCGCGATTTATTTTATGTAATCGGAATGGGAAACAGTTCAGTCACCTATAGCATGAACAGCACCACGAATATTACGTTATCTCCACTCGTAGCACCACTCATGCATTGCTATTCCGAAGGATTAAGATGTTACGCTTCTATTTCCTGTAATTTGACTAACCTACCATCAATCTATCTCAACCTTCAAGTCAAATACATCGTACAAATAATCTGCTTAGCATATGACGAACAAAACAACAAATTATTTTTAAACATTCGTTTTAAAGTACATATTTATGTGTTTTAATGTAAATATATATATTTTATAGTATTATATTGTATGTACGTAATAAGATTATAATAAACATAAAATTTTGTTTATTAGAAATTTTTCAGAGATTTCTTTACTTACTGTACACAGCAGCTCTGCTTTTTTAATAACAATAGGATTCAATTTAGCAAGGTGAGTAATATTCAGATTATTCAAATCTATAACGAACGTTTCTGATACACAATAGTCATAATTCAGTCTGAACTCACCAACCTGAAAGTCAAAACATATTTTTGGAATATAAAAATAATAGTTACTATTTTATATACCTATACTCATATTTATATTTCAGTTGATATGAAAATTAATATTTAAAGTTAATGCTTAAAATGCAGCTAGAACATGGAATTATATATTAATTCCTAAGTACAACGTAACCTAACACATTCCAAGTAAATAAATAATAAAAGTTCAATTCATACTAATATTATAAATACGAAAGGATGTCTGTTTGTCTGTGTGACTATCAATTTGTTTATGCTTTCACTGCTGGATGAATCTTAATAAAAATTGTCGAGAAAACAGATTGTATTACGAGGATAGATATAGACTATTATAAATTTTATCTCAGTAGCAGACGAAGTCATTGGTAAAAACTAGTATAAGACAATATATTATATTAATTACTTACCAAAAAATTGTATCTGAAATAAGAGAGTAAAGAGAATTCATCAAGTTTATCAGTTAAAAACTGCGTTATCATAACCCTCGATTGATTCGTTGGGGACAACTTGGGAAGAGGAACGTAATTTCTGTAATTAAATACATATGAATAATAACAAAATAGAAAAAGCTCAACTACAAAATTTAATAAAGTGAGGTTGAATAATGGGATATATTTTTTCATTTATAATATTATAAATATTGATTTCTATTAATTATTTATAAAACATTGCTTTTTGTCGATAAATTTATAAAAAATCTATATATATATATGTCATAGAATATTCTCTACAAGTTGTTGGTAATTAATTGTACTTACACAACTTCCCAGAGTTTTTCAAATTCAAGCACAGTTTTATGCATCGAGAGTTCTGGCATCAATCCTCTAGTTGTGAATAGTTTCTCAATCTTTGTTTTAGTGCCTTCTACAGAACCTCTTGCTAGGACGAAGAATCTTTCTAAGATAGCGCGACCTGAAAATAGGAAAATATCAATGTTTTAATTATAGTATTTAATAATTATTTACGTTTTTGACGTAGGCACATGACTATATCCATCTATTATACAGGGTGTAAGGGACAGGTTGGCCAAAACGAAAACAGCTGATTCAGATGAATGGTCTGAATCAGATGGCAAAGTATTTTCTCACCGGAAATGCACCACAGCCATATAATTAACGATTCTTAGTTTTGACGCCGCGCAATGTATTGCGCGCAATGTGATTTTACAACGAGAAGTTTCGCGGTGACACGTCAGTTCAGCAGTTCATCAGATCAGCGCGGGGAAGGATTTTAAATCGAATTACATTGATGCTTTATGGTATTTTATATTATTTCGTTATGAAATATTATTATTTCTTTATATTATTACATAATATCATAGTTCGCATGATTTTAAAAAAATAAAAGAAAAAATATTAAACAATTTCCGGAAAGAATTTCCACTGGTTTTCAGTTCAGAATAATGGTCTGAATTTACAGTTTCAGTTTTTGCAAACCTGTCACTTACACCCGGTATAATATACCGTAAGAAATTATCGAAATGATAGTGAAAACCTTATCGAAATTCGTTGCATGACTTAGAAGTAAACGGAGAGACAGACAGACGAAAACTGTTCTTAGTTATACTATTTATACATGTTAACATATTAGAAAATTTTTAAGCTTTATTTTTATTTGTTTTTATGTAATTGGAGTGAGAAACAAGCTGACGGCTCATCTCATAAATATAGTAAGAGATATCCATCGCTTTATATTGTATTAATATAGTTCAACTAAAAGTACCTGCATATTATAATTATATACTTGAATAATCACAATCAAAACAACTCAATTATAACACGTAATAGAGCAAGGGGCTATATCCCATAAGTGCTGGAATTATTATGACGTATACTATTACCATATATTAATTATCATTCGACATGGGGCATAATAAGAATTTGGTATTTGGTTAATTTGATTTTTCGTTCTCTTGCAAGTTTAAGAGAGGTAAAATTTATTACGTATTTTAAATTTTCTTCTGTGCTAGATATTATGGAGATAAATAACTGGTGACATAGCTATAAAGCTGCTCCTTGCGATCTCTATGTCTTGCTCATTGTAGGTAATTAGTCAGGCCATTTCAGAGATTAGCCGGAACAAACGGACAGACAAAAATTGTAAAAAAATGTTATTTTGGTGTATGTACCATATTTATATTCATATGTATGTAGTAAAAAACGGTTATTTCAATATTACAAACAGACACTCCATAATATGTTCGTATCTCTTTGTGCATAATATATATACCTAATTGTATTTTTTGTGAGAGAATAATAAATAGTTTTCATTTCATTTCAGTTTAACAATACTTTTGATCTATCTATATCTACATATAGTCAAATAAAACTGATTACTGTATGTACATGAAAGATATTTAAGAAAATCTTTATCAACGTAACCCAAAACAATATTTTTTAGTATTTTTGTCTGTTTGCCTCTGCACTTGTGGGCACTACTCTCTGAAACGGCTTAAACGATTTACGATGAAAACCACAAATTCATTAATAAAGCAAATTTAAAATAAATGTATATTATATTTCAATCGATTTAGAAACAAATAAGTTATACGAGTATAAAGTATTGAAACATTTGTTCTTCTTTAATTTTATATATTAATTGAAAAAGAGGAATCATTTTCAGCACATAACAACGTTAGTTACTGAAGAAATAAAATGGGACACTTCTTTTATGGACAACTTCAATGACAGGCTGAGCATCAATCAAGTCAAATTATAATTGATACGTCAGAGTGATTGATGTTTATCATGGAAGATATTCTTTTATCACTTATAATATAAATGACCACATGTGACCGAAGTTTATTTTTATACACTTTCATTAGGATTTTACCAGTACATTATTTCCGCATCATATAATATATGTATCTCCTTTTATTTTCAAGAAAATAATAGAATCCGTGCATTACATAAAACGGGACATTTGAATCAGCTACGAGCTCGCCAGGTCTATCACACCTATAGTAATATGAGAAATAAGATTAATTTATTGTACTTGGCAACCGATAAATATTTATAATTATTAATGATTTTACGTATTCGAGTATATATACGATTATAATTATGTTAATACTTATAGTACTAACATCGCGCATACTGCCATGGTGCGCTCATCAATCTTACTGCGGCTGCGCGCCGTCCGTATATTTTGAATCTGTGGCGCGTTGCATTTGCGCGGGAAACAATCTATAATTTAACTTCTTCTAGAGACATTCTTCAACTATTGTACTTCTGATCACTAATTTTTGTATACTGTTCTTCATCACTATATATAGCTGTAAATTACTATTATTAGAATAAACTTCTTATATACAACCAAAACTGGCATATAAATAAAGCCCCTAATCATACCGCTAACAATGTACAAATTCATATTTCTAAATATTAATTATTAAGTAATATTTGAATATTATTAATTGAATTTTTATTTGAATATCGTCAATTATAACTATACTAACGTATAGATTTAGAAATCCTTATTTCCTTATACTGGTGTACAACATAAGGAAGTAGAATATAACTCAAAACAGTTCGTGCAAACATTGCAGAGGTTTTGCCAGAAATTGTCCTGGCATTACTTTATTTACTTGGATGAGGACAGTGTGGTCTACTGCAATACTTATAATGTCAGTAAATATTTGGAAAGGATATTGACAAAAGAGGGCGACGTTTGAAGTGTAGATACCGATACTATAGCCCCGAACTATTATTTCGTACTATTGTAATTATGTTCAGGATTGACTTGTACCCTATGCCGTGACATGTTAAGTACGCTATATGTATTTATATCTTTGTATTGTATGTATTAAAGATATATGTATATTTTATAATTGTTTGTGTTTTATGATCTAAAAAACGTTAGTACCTATTTTCTATATCTATATGGATTAGGCTTTATATGCAAAGAGTACGAATAATTTCCATATTACAATAGATTATTTAATCTTAGATAGGAATATTGACTTTTGTAGTCTGTGTGTATTTTCTGTTAAAGGTGTATATTGTAGTGAAATTATAGGGTAACAAGGCATAATACTTACTCATATATTGACTAGCTTCAACCAAATGCGGTTGCTTCTTCAACCATTCTTCTATGTTGTCCAAACTTTCTTTAATCATCTTCACATCGCTTATACCTAAATAATTTCTTGCATCCCTCAAATTTTCCGCCGTGACTTGAACAAGTGGTAAAGACGGTGAAATCACCTCCATTTTACTGTAAACAGATTTTATATATAAACAATATTTCATTTTTATATTACTACTATGATCGAGTGTGAATGAAGACATACTTATATTTTATTATTGAAGCTATGTTTCATATACATATATTTGAGGAACTTTTAACGAAAATTTTGAGCTCAAACAAAGTAACTAAGGACTACCTATACCTACCACATATACCCCGTATTTGAAAAAGACTTACGAAAGACAGATTTGTCTTTCTTTATAACATAAGGAAGAAACGAGCTTGCGGCTCACCTGATGGTAAATGTTTACCGCTGCCCATGAGCACCCGTAACATAAGAGAAATTTCAAGAGCCTTAACGGCCTTTTAAAAAGTAATAAGTTTTTTTCTTGGCGTTTTAATATCATATTGGTTCGTAAATACCATTGCTGGAAGGTGCCTCAATGTTTCTGAGAAACATCCTGATATGAAAGTGTCCGCCAAAAAAAATATGTAAGGACGTTAGCGCAGACTTGTTACTTTCAACCTTGATCTGATTGTATGTTTTTTTTTGTAATGTAAATGTTATGTCAACACATTTTAATAATTGCATTTTTTGCAGTTTTATATTGTGACCAGTGGAGATTTAAAATATGATAATGGAAACTGTGTCGACATCTAAATAAATTCTAACATTTTGGTAATATCTTGACATTGCTTTAATGACCTCGTTTATTCGTATTCTGTTTATAAGTGACCAGTGTAGGAGGAAGATGAAATAAACAAATAAAATCAAACAATCCAATTTTTTAATAGTGCCAACCTGCCTACCTAGCCTTTGTACCTACATATTTTGCCCACTTTTGACCTCCACTCTGTCATATTAGAAAAATGCAAACATTCTACGTCAATGATTACCTTACTTTAAATGTTTGCATTTCTCTAAGATGTGTGATTATCTAAAAAAACTACTTATCAAGCTCAAGAAAGAAACAAATGACGTAAGCTGTAAATAATACATATATATTGATATATAGTGAGCTTATCTTTTTGTTAGTTATCATATCATCACTAAACAACTAAACAAATTAATGAAATTTAACATGAAAATAGATTGTATGATGATGACGGACCGAGGATATTTTTTATCCAAAAAATAGAGGAAGTAACTTGGAACACCCAGTATTTAATATGATTGTTATATATATACTGTACATTAGTACAGTATATATATAGTATAGATATGTGGCTAATACATTTCTGGATAATAAGAAATTTATTTTTTATTAATTTGTAGTTCTGTTATTGTACATTTTGTTTATACTTCAACTACTTGAAAACATTTGTAATAAATTTCCTATTTACATATATATATATATATATATATATATATATATATATATATATATATATATATATATAAATTAAACTACAACAATTATGAAACAGCGTCTAATTTAATTGCAAAGAATAAACCAGTTCTTGTAAAAATATTTCAAACTCATCCATCAAGGCTTTCATACGTTATAGAGCAGAAAATCGCATGTCCATATCAAATAGTTTTAGCTGTATCCTGGTTATTAAATTTTATACTTAGAATACATATACATAGAAAGCAGGTTCAATAGTCAGCATTACCAGCAAAAAAGTAGTATCAACTTGGAAACGTGATGACGACAATTACGACGTGACACCTTCTCGTATGTATGTGTAAATTGTTCGTTAAGGTCAGCTAAAGTAAACTATGGTCATTATTAATCATGTAAACAACTAAGTTCAAACAAGATAATGTCGAAGATCATGAATAGGCTTTATACCACAAAAAAAAATATGTTTAAAATCTTCAGATATATGACAACAATAATGGAATAGAAAATAACAATATTTGTTACATCACACATCACACATCACAATACAATAATGATGAGGCTCACTGCAGCATATAAATTATAGTTAAATAATGCATAAATACCATATATGTATATAAATAGAAATAATTTCTTTTTTCCTTTGTAATGATTTGAATGCATTGTACATTAAAATAATTACATAAAAAAGAACAAAAAAATAATAATAACTAAGCATATTATCTCGTATTGTCAAATGGGACAGCCTACTACTACTATACTGTAATGTTGAGTACTATGTGTATTGTACTATAATGTATGTTATTATGCAGTTATAAGTAATTAAAAATTAATTAACAAGCTAAAACAATATTTATATTTCTAGAACAATAAGTTAAAAATTTGAAAAAATATTTTTAATAAAAGTATCGGCTGTAAGTCAATTGTGTATCGTAATTTAAAAAACCGAAATTGAATTTTTCAACAACCCCATAACAACTGGATAGAGCTATAATATAAGATATGAAAAGAGTACGGAGTAAGCACGGTACTAGTAACTACCTTGTCGTTATATGAAAATTTGTTTGTATAAATAACTATTAAAAAGAAAATTACATGTGATTTTGAAGTCTTCAATGAAACAAGACATTTAAAAGAACCAAAAATCAAGGCCCAAGATTTATTTTTGATTGATTAGATTTCGGTACCAAGATTTGGTTAGATGTCGGTGCCATGTTTACTGGAGAAACAGTCAGAAGATACAAAGTTAATTTCTGGTGTCGGCCAGATAAGAACTTACGCTCTTGGGTAGTTAACCACTAAGCTATGACAATCTTATAATTATATATATAACTAATAATTATAGTTCACAATGCTAATAGTGATCTATAATTATATATAATTGTTTCTTACAAATAGGAATTGTCCTGTCCTGTGTAATAAGTGACCTAGATTGCCGACACCTTGACATCAGGGCTTGTAATTTATCAGTACTGATTATAATAACAATCTGAATTGGTGTAGTGAACTAAAATCCTTTTGGTGCAATAATACTACTATTACCCGTAACTTCGTTTGATATTTGAGATAAAAGGTTGCCTATTTATCATATTTTTATTAGTCGTTAAAAGGTAACAAATATAAAGACAGGCACATTTACATTATATAGTAGTATATATATATATACTTGCTATAGTAAAATAATTTGTTTAGCAGATATGAAGATAAAAGTGTACAAAAGACAAGGTGAAATTGATATATACCTATAGAATAAAGGCCGCACAACCGCATATGTCTGTATATGGGAGAAATATATATCGTTCAAATAGATCGTATAAAGGCTAAAAGAGACTTTGAAAGTCGAAGAGCAATATCTAAGTAAATAGACAGAGATTGTCTGGCACTTCTCAGAATATCTATCGTAACTTTAGGTCCTTTTGTTTGCATACTTAGTTAATTTTAGATAATTTGTAATAGAAACGACTAGAATACATTTACTGGTACAGTTGTTTTTTATTATCCTAGAGATCCTACAATATATGTATCATTATTACTACCTTATTAATTTGTACTTTGAAACATTAATATAGAAACGTAAGTACACAAAAGTAGGCAGACAGTGAGAAGAAACAGTGTAAAGTAAGGCTTTTCTTTCCTACCTTTATTGCCATATGTTATACGTCCGAGGTACATTAGACGCATAGCATAGTTTATCTATAGTGTTATTCTAAAAATTTCTTTTGTTTTGGAACAAACAACCAGTTCTTTTATTTGTATTTGACTTAAATAATATTTAATATAAATACAATTTGAAATGTAAACGCATTTTTTACATTTGTCTATTAAGTAAACTAAACCTCTATGGTCACTTATAAGCAGTTTAGCACAGCACCTTACTTCCGATGGTCGCAAGTTCAATTGTTAGTACATTTCGTATTAAACATTTTGTATTCATAAGTGTGATACTAACAGTATTGATTTAGGTGTTTTTATGTATATTATATATTTATAACAGTTGTTTAATACCTATAACACAACGTCTGCTTCCTTTGGGACTAGATGGCGCTGTGTGTATTACCCAGGATTATTATCACATTATATATCCCAGTAGGATTAATAGTAGTTTTAAAATAAATTTAATTTCACTCGCTATATGATTTATAGATACTTTCTTTGTGACTTAGACTCTGATTGTGTTTTAATAAATATAGATATGACAATGAAATTTCGTAGCGTAATTTATTAATATTCTTTTAGTAAATGTAACTGTGTATGTACAGAAATAGATGATGTGATGATTTGGAATATTGAATATTATGTTTTCGCATTGACAGTAAAAAATTCAGCACACAGAAAAAATCACCGCTAATTATTAAACTTGAAATTAACGATTTTATAATAATTAAATATATACAATAAATTATTGAAAATAATTTATTAGAATACAATAATTTATTAAAATATGCATAGATTAAAAAAAAACATCAAAAAAACATGTAAAAACAGACAGATAACGTTTTAAACACAAAAAATTCATCGAAACCCATTGAAAACTAGCAAAGATATCAAGTAGTTACTCGTACGAACAAAGTCGTGGCCGAATTGAGGGTTCTTCTTTCTGAAGTTATAATGTGAAAAATAAATTTTAAGTATTTATAAATTCATATCCTATTCCAACAAAATTAATATTTAATACTTAACAACTAATACTTAATAGTAATGTTTCGACATACCTGTCTGTACACGTGGTTTGAATAGCCAACTGGACACTACCACGGCAGTTGAAGTAATGTTTGAGAAACGAGACATAATAGTTGTTTACCTTAAATATCACATGCATGTAATAGAGGCAATTCTGTGCTATATTTTTTTACCTACAGTTAATTGTCTCTCTTATACTACCAAAGGTGTAAAATGTGCTTAAAGTAAAGCATAATTATTTTATTTGTTTATTATTAAAGAAAAAACTCACAGCACTTATAGTACATATGATAAATTCGAACTTTCTATATAAGTATATAAATATGGATGCTTATGAGGGCAGAGGAATGTTGAAGAGATGGGTGGATTGTGTGATAGAAAAAGAGTTAATAAAGAGATGACTGTAAACAAGCATGAATGGAAGAGTAGTACATATTACGCTGACCCTAAAAGAATAGGATAAAGAGGAGAGCGAAGAAATAGATGATGTGATGATTTCGAATATTGCATATTAAGTTTTCACATTGACAGTAAAAAATTCAGCACACAGAAAAAATCACCGCTAATTATTAAACTTGAAATTAACGATTTAATAATAATAAAATTTTAATCATAAACGACGGTTGACATTTTCTATTAAGTCGTTATCGGTTTGTTTATTATTCCAATTACATAAACAAACCAAAGTATATTAAGTTATTCATCAGATAATTTGAAGCATAAATATCTTCCTCATCACCAGACATTTTTTTTGGAGGTCCCTCTTAAGATGGGCATACAGGAATAAGGGGATCCAATATTTTTTCTTTCTTGCAAGTGGATATAACCCCTTAAAAGGTGGAACGTGAAGTAAAGCATTTCATAAATAGTTTTTATTTAACTACATACATATATATGATGAATATTTATAGAACATTGATATAAAAAATAATATGAGAAAATTAATGTATAAGCAGTTATTATATTTTGGAATGTGTATTACGGCAACGTTTATTATATGTATTTGAGGCTGTGAATATAAAGCTATAAATAATTCTCTGAGTAATAAGTACTCACTACTGAAATTATATTATACTAATATAGTGCTATAATACACACAATTCATGAAAATAGAGTATAAATCTTACATGTGGGAGTAATAAATATTTTTTACATACACATTCTGGTATGAGAAGTATAATGTGAACGCAGGAGGCAATTAGTTACCAGCGAGTCGTTAACGAGTCGCCAACAAATCGCTAACGTGTAATAGTACCTTGGTATGGTATAAGTGTTACTTATATCTATATAACACAAGTGTCAAAGATTAATTAAAAATGATCTTAGGGATACATTCGTTATTACGTTATTCTCTATTTTTATTACGTAAAAGAGTATTGTACAGACAATTAATAGTCATGCTGTTATGCAGAGTTTACATTAGGCAGATAGGTAACACTAATTTTAAATTTGTAATATAATTATTGTAAATATTTTATTTTATTAAGTATCAATAATAAGTATTATAAGTCAATGGTTTCAATTTTTCAAAAATTGGTCTATAATATTTTGTATATCTGGATGTACAAATAGATATTCTTTGCCCAAGTGCTGTACTATATCCTACAGTAGTAAAGTTATTTAATAAGAGTATAGGCATTCTCGCTAAATATTTGCTTAGTAGTTTTCCGGATCTCAACGGTTACAAGTGCGTACAATATTGATGTGTCTACATATAGTTTTTAAATTGTTGTTTAAATTTACCTACTAGCGTATGCATTTAAGCGTGGCGATGAGTTTTTTTTTTGTTCTCGCATATAATATAGTAATATGTATCTTCACGACCGTTATGTCAGATAGGATAATCGTGGACGTGGTATTAAAAACTATAAAATACATAGCATGCTCTTATTTCGCTCACTATGTTTGAATCCAACGTAGTAGAATAGAATAGAATAGAATAGAAAATCATTTATTCAAATAAACTTAATTTAAGCACTTTTGAATAGTCATAACAATTTGTTTTTTATCTACCACTCGTTCGGAAAGCTGTCTCATCACAAGAAGAACGAGCAAGAAACTTGTGTGTTGCTCTTTTAAATAATCCTTGTAAGTTTACATTTACAAGTCGAAACGTGTGAATACAAACTACCAACAAGCACTAATTTTTGGGTCAATGCAATGCAATAAGAGGAAATCAGTCATAGTGATTAGAGCAGACAAGTCCCTACAAGCAGCACTCATTTCACGAGTATGACGGATGAGCCAGCAATCACTGCGCTCGACCATATTTTAGGGAGCCCAATGACCCGGCCCACCACGCCGCCACATGTCTGGACATTTTAGTGAGCATGACTACTCATTCCACACGACCACGTCACAGCTACAAAAATTACTATATGGTAGTTACAGTATTCGCACTTTACATACGGATGCATGCGGCAATCAATATAAAAGCCGCTACGCTATCATATATCAAGAAAGCAGTATGAAAATTAAAATTATAACGTTGTCCGCAAATAAACTTATTCTTGCTATATATTGCTATCATCTATAAATTCATCTATTTTATAATAGGCTTTTTTACATAACATTTGTTTAATATAAGATTTGAATTGCCTTTCTGTAAGATTTAGCGTAGACTCTGGCAGTTTATTATAGAATCTTACGCAATTACCATAAAATGAATTACTAACTTTGTGTAGACGACATTTAGGTAAAATAGAGAGAAAGCGCCTCGCCACGTGGTCTCTCGGATATGGTTTGTTATAGTTAGTATGTGGTTTGTTATAGTTATTTTCATCACCCGATAGTTAGTTAGAACATAATAATGTTTTGTTAGCGTCATTCAATTAAACTTACGATTTTCGTGATTTAAGTGGAGGTAAAGGCCTCTTTTCGACGCTCTCTGCTTTTGGTCACTAACATTCTAAACATGATATTCGATTTACTCATATATGGACATCCGTCTATACTAATACTAACTATTCTAAAACCAAATATTTTGTAATAAACCTATGTGGTTTCCAAATATAAGAACAGTATGTACTCATTAGAATTTTACGACTAGCTTTATGATAAATATAATAAAACTATTTTCTTTTGCTACTGGTATTTATCATCTATAAACTTTAATAGCACATCCAACATTACAAACATAAAGTTATTAGCAACTATTAGCACATTAGTAATAATGGTAAATACTTACTCTGCCAAACTTTGTATTTAATTTCAAATATTTATTTAACGAACTATTATGTTAATCATTAATAATAAAAAATCGAAATTTGTACTATTATTTTTGTGTAAATCAATCATAAGTCAAGAATCGCCAATCAACAAAACCACCGTTTACTACAAAACCCATTTTATGGCACAAAATACAATTTTGATTTATACTAAATTCATCTAATTACTTTAATACTTTTGATGAAACAATCCTGCAAAAAATCATCTTATAATTTGTTGCAAGTGTCATCAGTATTTACAGACGAAGGTATTAAATTATTATTATTATATAGTTATATAAAGAGCAAAAAAAATTATGTAAAAAATTTATGCAATGTCATCCATTATCTCAACCCTTACAAAGTAATGAGATTTAGGTATGTAGTTTTCTATAATATTAATTTAAAAAATAAGAATAAATAATGTTAATGTATAAGACACATAACAATGTCTTTAATTAGTAGTATTTTAGATCAAGTCAAATACTTACTATACATATACATCATGACACTTCGATTTTATTTCAATAAAGGTAACGGAAGTGTTGTGACTAAATTACAGGAAATACTTTGCAGTATTGCATTCATTTGTCCAACTTCCGGTCATAAATAGGACCGTTATTTTACCACGTTCCTTCCTCATAAGGTCCATGCCAAGATGAGCTGAATGTAGAATATAACATTCTGTGTATTTAAAATATTTAAGGTAACAATATTTTATTTACACTTTTTGAAGTCGGTTAAAAATATTTTATGCGAAATAATCTCAGTGAATCTGAGAACCAATTTTTCTACTATATTATTTAATTATACAATGATTAATTAAATTTATACTATACTCTAGTATAAATTTAATTAATCATAAAGCGGTTTACAGAAACTTTATATATTTGAATTATTAATAATTTATGTACAAAAATTGCTCATTTAATGGTACGAAAATTTCGGTAGGAACAGTTTTCTAAAGAAATTAATACAATCAACTTGTTTTTATACAAAACTTTAGAAGGAGTTGAAATAAAATTTAAATACCAAATTTTGCTTTGAATCTTAAAGTTTTGTAATTCCAATGAAAATCACCTTGTTATTACTTTAAATACTTTTTGATATCATAAGTGTAATTTTCTCTAATCTTATTATTTCAAGTACGTAGGTAATTCAGGGACATATACCTATTTATTTTCATAACTGTAATGACACAAGGGACACTATTAAATATAACCTAGCTTGGACTTTGGATTGAGATGGCTTTGACACAGGACATGCACACGTTATGCTGAGAATATTTTACTTCAACTTGTAAAATAGCTAGAAATCTACGCCCGATTCTTGAAGTCAGAAACATTAATTGACTTAAAATTATATCAACGATGTTGTTTTCCGCATTAATTTTTTGTTTTTTTTTGTGTATCAAGGTAATATATAATATAATAAATAAAAGTGGTACAATCTTATAATACCTAGAATTTTTAGAATAAAGGTAACTTGTGAAGTAAAGATTGATTTGTGTAAAGTGTGTTGAAAGATTGATTTAATTATATTATTATTACAATATCACACATATTTACTATTTGTATTTAATATCCATCCATCCATACATTTATAACTAAAGAGCCGCGCTCATAATAATGAATGTATATAATAATTATTCTCATATACTTGGAACACATATGAGAATAACTATTATTGCGGGAATTTAGCCACCCGAAAAGACCCAAAAAAGACATTGTTAGAACTTTTCTTTTTGAATCTTTATCTGTGCGTACTAAATATAGAGATGGCTAAATCGATTACGTTGTGGTTTATTCCGAATAGTCAATTATACGAAGTCGAACTAGTTTTGTTACTAATATTTAAGTTTCACATGT